CCCCTCCGCGCCCCTGCCCTGCCCGGGGAGCGGTGGTGGTGCATCCTTCCTTCCCGGGAGCTTTTTTCTGGCAGCTGAACGGAGCTGTGACCACGCCGGTCTGTGTTCCGGGTTGTCTGTAGGCTGTGTGCAGGTAAATTAAGAGTTATGAGCCCGGCTCTGCTACGAGCCTTGAGAAGCAGTGAAGTGAGCATTAGCAGACTTGGAGAGGAGTTTCTGCAGTCTCAGAGGGGACAGGAATAAATGAGAGTTAATGTTGAAACTGTAACCTCAGCTGTAACTGTTAAGAACTTAATTCAAGAAAAGCACAAAGTGCTCTGCTTTTTCCCGTTCCTCCTGAACAGAAAATGTTTGGTGCTTGACTACTTTGGTTCTTAAGAAGTAAAGTTTGTGCAGATAAAGCTAAGGAACAAACAGCATTAACCAATCAACAGGATCCAGGATTCCAAGTAGGAAGGAGAGACGCATGTCCTTAAGCTGGTTACACTTGAGCTACTCATTCTTACTGACTTGAGGACACCAGTGAAGTTGCACTTGATTTAAATAGTCGTGGCTCCTGTTAATTCCAGAGCAGAGTTTCAGAGAAAGTTTGCCTCTTACTGGAAGAGACAGGGGTGCAAGTAAGTAACTACTGCTGAGAAGGTTGTGGTAGATCTGGTGATAAAAGCAAACCTCAAATACCAGTACTGATATCACCATGGGAGTTTTACATCCAGCACAAACTCGAGAATGGTTAAAGCTTCCTTTTTATGAACAAAAGTGTTTCTAGGTGATAACGATGCCGTAACTACTTAGCAGCCTGTTCACTTTTCGCTCTGTAGTGGAAGGGGTGTACACTCTAGATTGTTCAGATGTGGAAGACAGAAAAATAAGTGACTGATTTTAATCCCTCTGAGATCTTGTGATGCAAGTTAAAATCCTTCTGTTCATCCTGTCCTACAGCTGCTGTGGGCAAACAGTGCCAATTATGACTCCTCTAAATTAACCTAGTATAACAAGCTGCTTATGTGAAGTGCAATCTTTCTAAGCAGTTTTTGTATGAAGGTGAAAACTGTGTTAGTGTTTAGAAGTGGTTCAGTATGTGGAGGCTGACTTTTCCCTTTGGCAGTTTCTAGTTCCTTAACTGCCTTTTTTTTTCCTGTAGGTTGCCAGTGTGTTAATGACATAATCAGGGGAAAATGGCTTTTTCTAATGTAGTTCTCATGCAAATTCCACATCTTCTGGGGGTGGAGCATTGATTTAGGGGATTTTGGTGCCATTGGGATCAGAGACTGCTTTTAAGGTAAAGAGTGATAGAAATGCTTTATGAAAAATTGTGTATGTTTTTCAGTGCTGAAGAGCCTAAATTGAAATGAATGGATCATGGTGGCTTGGTTGTTACTGGACTGTGTGGAGAACAATCAGCTGATTATTTAAAACAGTGTCATAAATTATGATACTTTCAAAATTATTCTGGACTTTTATTCTTGTTTAAAAACAGATGTATATTTGGCCTGTCTGTTTAACTTCTTGCTTGCTATAATGGAAAAGCTGCTCTAATATGGTAGGGAAGACTTAAAATCTTGAAATTGGCCTTTTCTGAGTAGGTAGTTAACTAGTTGGCAGTTAATGTTGTGGTTTTAAGAGGAGTTTTCAAAATTTGTTGGTTTAGTAATGTTTCTGTTTAAAATTACCAAGTCACACAAGCTTTATATTTGCTATGCAAACTCTTTGCAGTGTGAAGATTGATTGGGTTTTCTGAAGGCTGTTCTTGACTCCTTCTCCCTTATAAGAAGTTACTCAACTTATAAGACTTCCCATTAAAGTTTAACGTTGCAAAGTCAGGAGCTTGTCTTTCTGTCTCGTAGTGTTGCTTGGAACTGGAGCAACCAAGAAAGGTTCTTCAGAGGCAGACTGTTCTGGGAAGGCAAGGGCTGGTGCACAGGAATAACTTCAAACATAATAGGTCTCTTAATGAAGTGACAGAGAATCCCAAAACTGATTTGACAGTACAACTTCTGTTTTTTAAATTCCACATTCAGGTTCCTAGCCTGAATCAGAAGCTACTGGAAGCGTTTGTTATAAACTTGTGCTGTCCCTGTCCTCTGTTTCTTTGACTTGATAAAGAGAACATACTTTGATAGGGTTGTTTGTAGAGTTCATCTTTGGGTAGGAATTATTTATGTAAAGTATTTGGATGTGAGTAGTAAGTTAGTGTGGTTGAAGAGTTTATTTGCCTCTTAAACACTGGCGGAAGGGAAAGTGCACTCCCATTTCTGTTGGTCTGACTGAGGCTTGGTGCATAAAACAACTCAAAGTGGATGAGCCAGAAGCCCAAGTTGGCTTCTGCCAAGTAGGCTGTAAAGTTGCTGAAGTACTAATGTCTTAATCTATGTGTCATCCATCCCTTAGAAACAGTCAAAACTAAAATCTGCTTGAATTTAAGTTTGCAATAGTGCTTAGCTAATCAAGTTGATAGTCAGCTACAGCTTTGAGAGTTTGATGGAGGGAGGGAACTTAACACTTAAGTACTAAATTTTATTTGACCTTTGGCCTCAACCTAGTCTCATTTCACAATTAAAAAAGGCCTAGCAAAAGGTGTGGAGTAAGTTTTCCCAGCTAAAAGCAGAGAAAATGGTGTTTCATGAATTGAGCAGTATTGTATATTTAATTATGCCTGCAGGAAATATGTATGTGACTCTGACTTATGTTTCAGGACTAACTATATATAGCCTCTATTAATTCTTTCTCTAAGTACTCAGTCTAGAAAATGTATGACAATTCTGTGGTGTTTGCAGGGTTGTTCAGCTTACCTTCCACATTACAATGGCCTTGAGACTATTGAGCTGGTTTGGTCACCATTTAGTCAATATACTGTGGAGGAAGGATCTTACTTTCCTGGACTTAGTGTTGGTTTTTGTTCTTAGTCTTTCATAAACTGTCATTTATTCATTGATGAGTGGTCCATGTGCAGTAAAGTAAGTTGCCATCCATAAAGTTCTGAAAAATGGATCTCCGTGCCACTATATTTGAGCATCCTACTACTTCCCCCCCCCCCCGACAATAATTGCTGTATTTTATGTGAACTGTAATTTGAAGGAGTCAGCCCTGGTTTCTGCCAGGCCTTATTAAAAAAAAAAGCCCTATATATACTTGCAATCTTTCATAATTCATGCTGTGATTACTGAAATTAACTCTTGCACTCCTATTTTTTCTTTAGATAAATGAGTTACATTAGTTATGGTTATCACTTTTCTGAGCTTTTAGTCTTCTGGCTGCTTCCCTGCTGGTTAGTGTACCAAGTACATCTTGTCTGTTGTATCTAGAAGGATCACAACACCTCTAAGAGGCACCAGTGGAAGCAGAAGTGAGGAGGAGTTGTGTTTAGAGTTCTATCTCTTTGAACCTCAAATGGCCATATTTCTCTTATGCTTATACTTTCAGTTGAAGTTGTAGTGGAAAATGTGGGGAAAATACAAATCTGAGTATTTCTCAACTTTTCTGTTTGTTCTCATCAGAAGCAAAGTAGCTGAGTGATAATTGAACAGGTGAAACTAATTTTTAGAAACTAAAGGAAGTATTTGGACACAGGATAGATTCTGACTACTTAGTCAATCAGAGCATTGTGTGTTGCCATTTAATAGGCTTTTGTGAGATGCACTTGGTGTTTCTTATGGAATGAATATGTTACTTCTGCATTTTTCAGAAGAAATCAGTTCACTCAGAAGATCCATTCAATGATGAACAACGAGAACGGCATGAAGTGGAAATGCTTGCCAAGAAGTTCGAGGCAAAATACGTGAGTTACTGTGCTGTGTTAAAATATTCAGATGTTTAGCAGTGATAACCTGCGAGATGTTAACATCAGGGTTGGGTTTTTTCCTGAATAAGATTGCTATGTAGTGTCAAAAGACTTCTGTACATTTCAGAGATGACTGTCTCACTGTAGTTCATTTAAGCACCTTAAAGTTGCCACAAGCTTATCAGACAAGTCTGCTAAATAGGTTTGTCTATAGATGCCATAGCTTGTGAAGCTATTCTTGGAAAAGCTTCCTGTATAAGTACAACTGAGTAATAGATGCAGGTCGATATTCATGCTAAATACTGTGCTGGAGGAAAGAATTTTCGTGTAATGCTGTTGTGCACTATTGAACAGCTCTTCTGTTTGGGCTAGATCCTGATGAATCTTGATGAATTTCTGACTACTTTGGAACGTTTCCATAAAGAAGTTATTTGTTGAATAATAAGTCATTACTCTGAGTTTCTTGTAGCTGCCAGCTGCCTAGAGATACTCTGCTGACTCCTGAAGGTGTAGTGTGAATGACTTGAACAGTGCTAGGTAGTAGCATAGAGGCTTTCACTAGTAAATGAAAAGTAGAAATCAGAAAATGTTGACAAAAACCACACCCAAACAGGTCTTTAAGTATTCATATGGGTAGGGTTGGGTGATTAATTCTGAGCTGGCAATCAAAGCTCATCATCATGCTGAGGCATGTTGATATTCTGGATTACTAACAGAGCAGCTCAATAATAAAGAAGGGAAACAAGCAGTCATTTGTATCTTTTGCTGTTAATATACATAGCAAAATCTTTCTTGTCTGATTTCCTTTGTTAGAAGAAATATCTAAGTAAAATTTTTGAGTGCCTTGTCTATGCATTCTGTAGAAGTAATTACTATTGCAAGGCATGTTAGTTGTGATACATAACAAAATAAACCCTTGAACTGAAAAGAATCATTGTCATCTCTTGGAGGGGTTGCCAGAACCCAATATACCCAGTGAATTGAGAAGACAGTTCCACAATACTGTTTGCTTTTAATTTGAGTGATTGTGACAAGCCTCTACGATGCTAAAAAACTTTTTTGAGTGTGAGGGAAAAACATTTCAACAGTACTTATTTAGAAAACTCATTTCCATAATAGAAGTTCAGGGGTTTGTGTCCTGAAACAAGTTGCTTAACTGCAGTAGATGAAAGTCAGGGTAGAGCATGTAAAGCAGTATATGTAGGAGGGAGCAGTAGTGGAAGCAATCTAATTATACATGTACATTTATGCATACATCAAAGCTCAACATGTACATTTATGGGCAAAACATGCTATTAGACTTAAGAAAACTTGAGTTCAATGCTCAGTAGTCATAAAAAGGGGCAGATAGTTGATTTTAACCATTAGAAAGCAATAGTTAACAAAACATTTTCAACAGTTTAAATTCAGGGTGCCCCCGTATCTTATTACTTGCACTTGTGATTTCTTCTGTTTCGTTCTCTGCCTTACCTTATGCCTGTCAGCCCCATGAAAGGGAATGTCTTCTGTATAAAGAACAACTTATCAGGTTAGAGCCACTGAGCATGGAGGGTGGTGAGGGATTAAGAATTCTTGTGTTAGATGCTCCTTGTCCTTTCTCTCTTCCAATATGGGAACCATCAGTCTCTACTTGCTGTCCATGCTCAGAGAAATTGAATCTCTGTGTGCTGACCCAGTACAATTGCTCATGTTCTGACCACATCCAGCCATCTTCTGACTCTCGTGGGGAGGTGTTTGCTCCTTAGCTGAACTAGAACAGAGACCCTGTGTAGTAGATCCCCATTCTTCTCAAGTGAGTGAGCAGCTGCATGGTACTTAGTTGCTTGTGGAGTTAAACCACAACGCTCCTTAACAGTGCTTTAGTGTAAAAGTATCACTGGCTGTATGAGAAATAAATAGAGGTAGGTTTTGTTTGGGATTTTTTTCTTTCAAATTTGGAGGAAGTACTATATCCTCCTTAAACTATGTCCATTTAAAATCAAGTCAAGGTGTTTAATCATAGCATGTGTGGCAGTATTTCTGGAAAATCAGATGCATGAAGAACCATCTTCCTTGAAAATGTTCAACTTCTTTTCAGATAAATTTGTGTATTCGTAATCAAATCACTACATTATTTGATACATTTTGCAGGAACTAAGCAAAAGCCTGTGAATAAATGCATTTTTGAAGAACAAGATTCATAATGTACCATTTGTTTACTTGACTATTCAGAACGTTTTTGGGATTGCTGCACATTTTAAACACCAGCATAAGAATCTGCTCCAAAGGCTTCCCATTTTCATTCCCTTGATTGCTGCTATTCTCCAGACAAAGCCAAACAGTGTTGTGAACCTTGGACAATACTATACATAATGTAAGAATTTTTCTTGAAACCAAAACAAAGGTCCATCTAATGGATGGTGGCACCGTCCTCTGACTCTAGTGCGATCTCATACTTGAAAGTATAACAGAGCAAGTGTGCACTGATATTGCTTCACTGTGTCAGTCTAGCGATCTGTGCCTTAATTTCTCCCAAAGCCAAAGGCTGCATGTTTAACTCCCCTTTGTATAGCTTTCTGCCATAAATTTGCCAGATCATTGCTGGATTTCTGTGTTCCACGGCACTGAGTACCATGGTGATTGTCAACATGTGTTGTGTTTAAACCTGAAGAGTTCACGTGATGCTCTATAGTTTCTGTATTGTAATAAGCAAGGAAATATTTCCTGCTCTGTACACTGATGTGACTTTGATCATCTAAATTCAGCCCTTTTGTTCTCAGGCTGCAGTGTCTTAACATTCTGTTACTGTCCAGAAGCAATGGGTTTTACCTTTAAACATCCTTGTTGGCTTACTGTTCCCTTTTTTGTTCTAATTTCTTTTTTTAAATGAGAGGACATTAGTGGTATGATGCCCTGATTTGTCAGTGACATAATGACGACTTCTGGTTTTGTTCTCTGTTCCTTTTTCATAAGTCCCAATTCTTTCTTTTCTGGCCACTCTTCATTGTTGAGAAAATGTCATAGAATTGCGTGTAACAACTCCAGTGCTTCCTGAGCAGCATAACAAATTGGGAGCATACTGTATTTGTTTTTACTTGACTGTGTTGGATTACTTTTTTTGCTTACTTTGTGGATTACCTTGCTTTTATTGATGCTGAATTCAACTGGTTGTTTATCATACTAAATCCAGAGCAATTGTGAGGTCTTTCCATGATTATTCAGTAGTCTTTTTCTTTATTATCTTCAATTTCTGGTATCTTGCCTCTTCCCCCTCCCCCAGCTGTTAACCCTCTGCTGCTTTTAAAGATGAATGAATACGTTTTCCTTGGTGATTTCACTGATTCCTTTCTTTGCCAAAATTAAATACTTACTCCTACCCTTTCTTTCCTAGCTTAAATCAGATGTCAGTTTGAGTGGACCTTCCTTACCTCATGACAGTTTCTTGTCACTAAAGATCTTTGGATCTTTTTTAAAGCATTTGAAGTACTGCTTCCTTCTACCAAAATTCCTTCCTGTTCTGGAATATGTATTCTTATGCCTGCTGTTGTTGTGTTGTTTATAACTTCTGTTAACTTATCCACTATAGGGAGTTCTATTAACTTACTCACTTGAGTTATATGGACCAGGTTTGCCAGTTTATAGATTCTGCTGTGGCCCTTCTGAAGGTTCTTCAGATATGGGCACTGTATTTACCTCCCACCTTCTAGTCCTGTTGTGCAAAGGCTCTTTAAGCCCCGAGTTATACGCCACAGTTCATGTGCTGAAGTCATATTTGTGTTTTCTGAATACTTGCATGAGTACTATTTGCAGCTTCAGGAACTAGGCATGCTCAAGTATAATGACTGCTTGTGTTCTGGGACAGAAAGGCTGGGGGAAAGCTTCAGTAGTACAACTTCCCTGAACTGCTGCATAGTAAATAGTGATGCAGGTAATCCCTTCAGTTCTTCTGCTGCAGTCTTGCATCCTTAACATCTCCATCAGATGAACTCTCAGCACAGTTCCTTAAACATAACTGGGTAGCACCAGGAAAATCTCTATGTATACATACAGTGGTTCAGATAATCTCATGTTTATTCAGAGGAATGCAGGTTACTATTTGAATCCTGCTTTCATTCGTTCAGCTATTATGAGACTCTTTTCTGTTGTTATTATCTTTGTTCCATATCTATTTTTATAACTATCAGCCAGCTGGAATGTATTGGAAAACCTTATTTTTTAATGCCCTTGCACTGAAGTCATAGAATCACAGGATAACCATTGCTGCAAAAGGGTTTTAGACTCTCAAATGAGGATGTTCATATGTAGTACACAGGTGGCTTGCATTGCACTTTAGTGAGGTCAGTACAGGTGAAGTATAGTTTATGTAGCATTCTCAGACAGCCTGTTGGCACCTAAGTCAGAATCATGAATTTTATAAGCTTTTGCACTGGAGTTTAAACAGAATTCTTAAGTGCTGCTTTTATTTTTCTAACATTTTTTTCTTTTTTTTCCCTCCTTTCATCCAAAATCCTTTTTTCAAACAAGTACTGCATGCTTTGGGAATGTGCAGTCATCCAGATGCTTCACCAGATGAGTAACTTCAGGAGATGATAGCACTGGAAGGAGTACTAGCTTGGAATATAGCTTGGAAACCTGAATTAAAACAGAACTCACTTTTCAGGTTTTTCTCCTAGGACTACTGCATTTATTTATTTACATATACTCGAGAGATTCCTTTTTGCTTACAAGAGCAAATGCTTTGCTTCATTACAAACTTGAATTCTTGCAAAATGTTCTTAAAATGGAGGTGTTCAGATGCTTCAACTTCTCACTAAAGAGCAAGGGTGAATGGTCTGCATACTCAGAGCAACAAGGAGGCTGTGAGATTCAGATATAACAGCCAGAAGGAGTCGTATTTACTCTAAACATACTCAGAACTGTAGCGTGCAGGCGGAGAAGTTTCAGGAGCAATTTCTTGAATTCCTCAAGAACACCCATTGCATTTTTAGTGAAGGTGTGATGCCTTTTAGAGAATTTTAAGACTTCTGTATTGATGGTTTTGACAATATAAGGGAGCTGGAAAACTAGGGCTTAGATCCTACGCAAATTGTTGTATAACTTCAGGTTTAGATTTGCTGAATGTGTGAGCTGGGTATGAGTTTTTCGTTGACTTGATTTAACAGTAAAACTTCCATGTGGAAAAAAATGCTTACAGATTAAAAAGGTTTACAGCCTCCTGGAGGTAAGTGAGCCCATTCATAGTCTAATGCAGCTTCTGTCTTGAAGTTACTCAAGTAACCATTTTATGGTCAGTCCTATCAAGTGAGGTGAAGGCTCTTGCCTTTCAGAGGATTTTATCATATTTTTTTCTTCAGTTATATCATACGAATTCTGCAACTGCCTGAAAACTCATAGGCACCATATCTGCAAGTACCAGATCAATATTTTTCTTGGTTTGATTTAGGCTTGACTTTACTGTAGAGAATCAATCC